TCTCTTTGGGCTGGAGCGATAGCACAGCGGGTAGGGCGTTTGCCTTGCATGCAGCCAACATGGCCGGCCCGAGTTCGATTCCTCTGCCCCTCTCGGAGAGCTCGGCAAGCTACCGAGAGTATCTCGCCCGCACGGCAGAGCCTGGCAAGCTACCCGTGAGGTACTCAATATGTCAAACACAGTAACAACAAGTCTCACGATGGAGATGTTACTGGGCCCACTCGAGCAAATCGATGAATTACGGGAGGACCGTGATTATCTCTTTACAAAGCAGGGACCCTCAGTACCCACATGGAACTGAACTGTAGTTTCCTTTATATTTACATAAATATTGTTATGGATTTTTTAAAAAATGTATACTTATTTATTTATTCTGATGGTACTCAGGAATTACTTCTGGTGATGGTAGGCAGACCATATGGATGCCAGGGATCAAACCCAGGGTGGCCACATGCAAGGGAAACACCCTACCCACTGTTCTATCGCTCTGGTCCCCATGACGTGTTTTTATGGCTTTTGTTTGGTTGGGTTTTGGAGCCAAATAGGACTGAGCCTATTACCCTCATACATGCCATTTTATTTATTTATTTTTTGTTTGTTTGTTTTTATGAGGTAGGGTTGGTTTAAAGGATGGGGTATGGGGCCGAAGAGAGTGCTTGGTGGTCTGAGTGCACGCTCTGCGTGCGGGAGGCCTGGGCTGATCGCTGGCACCACATAATCCCCAGAGCATCTCAGGAGTGCCTCTGAACATGGAGCCAGGAGCAACCCTCAAGTACCAACAGTTACAACTCCCAAACAAACAAACAAAAAAAAACAGAACAAGACTGTATAGTTGAGGGATACAGTTTGCCATCTTTTGAAAAGATGTTACCCCTTTCCACCTCACACCTACTACCCTAGTACCAGTTTCTTCTCACCACAGTTCACTGGCGCCCCCCATGATCCGTCTCCTCCTCTCGCCTTCGGTGACTTCAGGTCTGCCATCAGCGTTCAGAATTTTTCTTTCGACTTTGTTTCTTTGCTTCTCTGTATCCTCCGTGTGAGTGAGATCATCTGGTATTTGACATTTTCCCTCTCATTTCTTTCACTGAGCATAATCCTTTCCAGCTTCCCTCCATGTTGTTGCGAAAGACAGAATTTCATTTTCTTAGAACTGAGTAGTACTGTGTTGTGTGTAGACGCCGCGTTTTCTTTATCCACTTGCTCTCATTGAATAGGTACTTTACTAGCGCATATCTTGAATATCAATATTTTTTAAAACTTTTTTTTCTTAGTGAATCACTGTGAGATAGACTATTACAAAGCTGTTCATGATTGGATGCAGTCACATAGTGTTCCAACACCCATCCCTTCACCAGTGTACATTTCCCAGCACCAGTGTTCCCGGGTTCCCCTAACACCCCTCACCCCTCACCCCCAACAGCCTGCTTGCTTCTATGGCAGGTGTTTTTCTTCTCTCTCTCTCTCTGTCTCTCTGTCTCTCTGTCTCTCTCTCTCTCTCTCTCTCTCTCTCTCTCTCTCTCTCTGTCTCTCTCTCTGCTTTTGGGCATTGTGGTTTGCAATATTGATACTGAAAGGTTATCAAGAATATCCCTTAATCTACTTTTAACCCTCAGATCTTGTCTGGTGTGATGATCCCCAGCTATTATTACCATACAGATCTCTTCTCCATTTTACCTCAGTGATTGCATCCTGAATATTATTAATATTGATGCAGTGACCATTGATGTGAATGTATCTTTTCAAATTCGTGTTTTTTATATTCTTGACAAAGACATCAAGGAGTGAAATTGCTGGGTAATACAGTGGATCTAGTTTTTATTTTGTGAGAAATCTTGATACTCATAACCGCCATAATTACAAAATTCAATCGCATGAAAATAACCTCATCAAAAAATGGGTTAAACAAAATAGGAGACTAACACCCAAGAATGGCTGAGATAAATACCAGGAGGTTTACTCCATGGCTTGGAGGCCAGCCTCACACTCTAGGGGTGAAGGCAGCTCAGATAGAGAAGGGAGCACCAAATAAAGGGTGTTGGGAAGATCTGCCCAGGATGGGAGATGCATGCTGAAAGTAGACTATAGACCGAACATGATTGCTACTCAATTCATCTCTTTTGCAAACCACAGCACCCAAAAGGGAGTGCCCTGTCACAGAGGCAGGGTGGGACGGGGGGATGGGGGGTGGGAGGGATACTGGGATTAGTGGTGGTAGAGAAATTATCTTTTTACAAAGCAGGGACCCTCAGTACCAACATGGAACTGAACTGTAGTTTCCTTTATATTTACATAAATATTATTGATATGATTTAAAAAATATACTTATTTATTTATTCCATTAACCAAAAATATACTTATTTATTCCAATATACCATTTATTAATGGTGTCCATTAGTGGACACTGGTGGAGGGATGGGTACTCGATCATTGTATAACTGAAACCCAAGCACAAAAATTTGTAAGTCTACAACTGTACCTCATGGTGTTTCACTAATAAAAATTAAAAAAAAAGATGATTAATTAAAAACTCTGAAAATAATAAAAAAAAAGGTTAAAAAACTGCCAAAACATTTCATTGAAGAAGATGGCCATCAGGCTCAAAAACAATACTAATTATTATCACTTATATCAAGGAAATTCAAATCCAAATGTAGTGAGGCCTTCCAGCTGTATGACAGATACCAAATTGACTAGAAACAAAAAATATTATGGGCTTGGTGTAAAAGAAACCCCAAATGAAGCTGCTGCAATGTCGATTGGTTTATCCTCTGGGGGAAGTTTCATGACCCAAATCCCAGCTCAGTGCAGGTACTTTCCGAACTGCTGTCTCTACCATGTTCCTCAGCTCGACCTCCATGTAGCATTTGGGATTTTAATGAGTCATGCAGACTTGACACCATCTAAACTAATATTCTTATTTAATTCCCCAATTTCTAGCAAATAAGACCTATTCTTATTTGTCTTTGATTCTTGTTTATATCAAAATATTGGCATTTTGCTTGATTTGGGGTCCTTAAGCCTTTACTTTTCGATTTTTTCGGACTCTCAACTTTTTTATGCTGCAAGTAATGTTATTCTTTCTTTCCAGTCACGGTTTGTCTTGCCTCTTCTGCCATTATCCAGGTCATTGTCACCTGTCTTCTGTTTTCTTACCACAGCCTATTCTTCCTTTGAGGTGTTTAGTTTATTTAAGGTTTTTTTGTTGTTGTTGTTCTGCCTGATCTACTTACATTTTCTCTATCTACTTATGCTCTTACTCTCTTTTTTTCTTTAAATGTCTCCTCAAAATTAATAGCAGTTCTCCAACCCTGATAACAATTTCTTTCTTCACTGGCTTATTATTCTCTAAAATACTTCTCATTTATTATACTATATACTAGTCATTTACTAATTTTCAATGTACATCTAATAGAATTTAAGTTGCACGAGGTCAGAATTTTTAATTTTATATTTATTTATTTATTTAGTATTTTTGGCCATTCCTGGCTGGGCTCAGGACTCTGTGCTCAGGGATCACTCTTGGTGGGCTCAGGGGACCACATGGGGTGCCAGGAATAGAACCCTGGTTGGCCCTATGCAAGGCAAGCACCCTACCCTCTGTGCTATCTTTTCGATCCCAGAATTTTTTTTTTAATTGTTGTGTCTGGCACCCATTGGATTTTCTTCCGCTTTTCCTGGCAGTCAGATGAAACTGGGCAATTTGGTGCATTGCATAATTCTCATCATATCCAAGAATTCTTGTAAATCCTGAGGACAGAGTATTGCCTGCACTGAATTATTCAGGTAATATGTAGGCTGGATCTCACTGTACAACAAGCAACAGAAAAACGATGCTAAAAGATTTTACTGTAAACTCAGTGAGGTTATGTCATCTGCACTTTTTTTTAGTTTATTAAGGACCGAGGGCATAACATGAAAATTATCACAAAATGGAAGTCATATGTAAAATAATTTGAAGTTATTATAGATGGCAATTTAAAATTATTAATAATTCTTCATTATTTTATGTGTGATGATGGTAATGCCTTCTAAAGGTGTTTACCAAAGTGGGTGTTACCATACCTCCCGGCAGGGGGTGTGTGCTGGAACCATCCAGAGGCTTCATAGTGTTCTAGGGTGTGAAAGGGGGGAATGGGGGGGGGAGGGGGAGTTTTTTCTCCTTGTTCATTTAAAGGTAGATTTCTGGGGTGGTGCTGACCTTTTTTTCTGAAATGGGGTGATAGGCCAAATAAGTTTGGAAATCAGAATAACATTGAAATCACCTTGGTTTTATACGTACATGGATAAATGTGAAACTTTCCTCCTAATTCTTTTCTTTTTAATCAGTTGGTAAAACTTACTACTGTAAAATGTTTTTCCTAGTCAGTCAAGAAGTCCTGAGAGCAAAAGTGACCACAAAAGGGGTCCCAAGAGGTCATGCATGGGTAAGGTGTTTGCCCTGCACATGGCCAACTCAGGGGTGCAGCTGGTGTGACCCCAAACAAAACTAAGCAAATCACAGGCAAAAATAGAGGAGAGTTTAAAAAAATTACTGCAAAAATAAGTGAGCAAGTAACTGTATAATGGCATTATGTTGAAATATTTTAAGATATTGATATTTATATTTTCAATAATTTTTTGTTATATGAAACTAGGGTGCAAATGTCAATAAAAAACCTACAAAATTTTAACTGGAATAAATTCACCAAAGTGTTAATCTTTATTTTTCTCATGATAAGATTGTGGATGAATTTATTTTCTTTCATGTAATTCTCAGAATGTTTGCAGTGTTTGTGGAACCTTTATAATGATAGCAGAAGTAATTACTATCATTTAAAAAATAGAAGCTTTTCAATATCTATGGTTTGTTTTTATGTTGCTTGTTGATAATAATTTAGATTTTTTATATCATGAAAAGGTTATAATTGTTTTCAAAACTAACATGCAGTATGTTATCACCTGACTGTTGTTTTCAAAGTTTTCAAGATACATTTTCGATTGTATTTTTCCCTTCACAGACAGCCTTTTGATTGACTATCAGTTTACATTCAGCTTATTACAGGAAGATGACCGTCACCACACTGCCATAAACTTCATAGCAAACCCAGAACAGGTGAGAAGGCAGTTTATCTTTGTGTGTGTGTGTGTGTGTGTGATTATAGTAAACTCAGGACACAACTGTTGTCATCTTTCATTGTATTTTTGCCTCATCTGAGAATTATCACACTGTAGGGGCTTGGTAGATACACTAATCCTTTTCATTTTTTTTTTCTTTCTGTAAAGCTTAGATAAACTTGTGATTCAGAAAATTTGTGAGTTTCCTATTTTAGAATTTGCAAGCATTCCTACACTTCAAATTATGTTATTTCAATTATTTATTCATACTTATGGCTGTGCTTCTGTTTGTGATTAGCTTTACAACTGGGAGTAGTTTTATTTGAAAATAAAATCCATAAGTTCAGAATATGCTATATTCTAACAATATTTTTTTCCCATATAGTTAGATACTAGTGCGTTCTCATTGTGTTTTTTCCCCTAAGTCCACTGACTTATCTGAGGTATGAATGCTGGATTTTTCTTTATATAAATTATTTTTATTGACATATAATTGACATATTATGCTGTATGAGCTTAAAATATACAGCTTGGGGACAAAAAAATCTATACACAGCTTGTTGATTTGATACATTTATGTAATGCAGTATGTTATCACTGTAGAAATGAAATGAAAATTCTGTCATAGCTTTCTTTTATATAGTGAGAGTGACTCAGATTTTTGTTCTCCTAGCAACTTTTAAGCTTTTAATATGTTATTGTCATTAACCATGAGACAGTATACTAGATTCTAGGATTTATTCATCTATTTGTAAGATAGCACTCTTAAACATGTCCCCCATTTCTCTAAGCAGTCCCCTCAGTCCCCTAGGCCTTATAAGTGCTATGAATTGAACATTTTTATCCTTCCAAAATTAAGCACTATGTTTTTATGTTTGGTGTGTTTAGTGCTATAGCGATGAGGGACTGTGGGGGCTTGATTAGGTCAGGAACATATAGTTCTAAGAAATGGATTTGATTTACTCAAAGAAGAAGCCCTAGAAATGCCCTCTCTCCCTTTTACCGTGTGTGGACACAGTGAAAAGAGGTCTGTGTGTGTGTGTGCGTGTGTGTATATATATATATATGTATATATATACACATAAATTTTCAATTTTTGGGCCACACCCAGTGATGATCAGGGGTTACTGCTAGATCTACACTTAGTAATTGCTCCCGGCCATGCTTGGGGGACCATATGGGATGCTGGGGATCAAACCTGGGTTGGCGGTGTACAAGGCAAACCCCCTACCACTGTACTATAGCTCTGGCTCAAGTCTGTGTATGAACTAGAAGTGAGACTTGATGAACTGTGAATCTGCTGGCAGTTTTATCTTGAAATTCTTTGCTTCGAGAGTTGTGAAAAAAAGAAATTCCTATTATTTATAAGCCAGTCCATGGCCTCTTTTGCTATACTGTCTTGGGTGGATGAAGACTGCAAGAATTCAGTTTCTTTTGAACATGGGTATCCAGTTGTTGAAGAGTTGTTGAACCATCTGTTTTGGGAGCCCTCATCAAAGATTAGCTGCCCATGTACATGGGGGTTATTTCTGAACTCTGTGTTGCATCGCATCAGTTACCTGACATTCTTGATGCCAACCATATGTGTGTGTGTATTGAGTTTGTGGATTTTTACTGTTGATGTTTTTGAGTCATTGTGAATTACAAATTTCTTTATGATTGTATTTCAGGCATGCCGTGTTTCAACACTCATCCCTTCGCCAGTGTCCACTTTCCCCTGCCAGTGTCCCCAGTTTCATTCCCACCCCACTTCCTATCTCTTCCTGCCTCTATCCTAAGTCACTTTATTTCCTAGGCACTGTGGTTTATTTACAGTCTGGTCATAGCTAGGGTATCATGCATATTGCTTTACCACCTTTCAGCACGTTCTCAGCATGTAGGACCATGTGGTTTAAGTACAGTAGTTTTGTTTGTTTTGGTTGTTTTTCTTCCTTTTTTTTCCCTTTGGAGTGGGGGAACTCCTGGCGGTGCTTAGGGCTTACACCTGCTCTCCAAAAAAGGCTCACTGCTGTTGGGGCTCAGGGAAATATCCAGGGTATCTGGCTTAGTGTGTAAGGCAAGCACCTTTCCCGCTGTATTATCTCTGTGGTTACTACAGAGTTACTATCTCTGTAGTAACTGCTGGGGTTTTAAAACATTATTTTTAAATCAGGAAATACAATGTTCCAGCTTTGTTTTTAAAATTGTTGGGATCGTTATGTAGGTTTTGTTATATTTCTGTGAAAAATTCCACTAGAATTTTTGACATAGGATTTATAGATTGTTTTGGGTAATACAGATTTTTAACAGCATCATGTTTCTTTCTATTATCCATGTCTTAATTTCATCCATTTTTTTTATCATTTTCAAAGTTCAAATCTTTTATCTTCCAGGTTAAGTTTATTCTTAATTTTTTCTTCTTGATGAATTCATCCAGTTTATTGTTAATATATTAAAAACTAGAGCATGGGGGGCATGTACTCTGCTCCTGAGGATAGAATCCTGGCTCATTTTCATCCCCTTAGATTCTTGGTTATATGTCCTTTCTTCTCCCCAGATTTGGAACATTTTTGATCATTATTTATTTTAGAATTTTTGCCATTATTTTCTTATTATAAGTTTTCTTCCCTGTCTTCCTCCGGGACATTCCTAATGCATATATTAATGGTCTCCCGTAAGTCCATTAGGCTTTCTTCACCCACTCATTCACATTCTTTTCAAATTTTGCCCCCTGCTTTGGTAATTTCCTATTATCTGCTTTCAAGTTTGCTGATTCTTTCTTCTCATTCATTAAGTCCTTATATTTGAAACTCTTTATTAAATTTTAAGTTCAGTTATTGCATTATTCTGCCCCAGTATTTCTATTTGCTTCTTTTTTAATGGTTTCGGTCTCTGAAACTCTTTTTTTCAGTTCGTGTATCATTTCTTTTTTTATTCATTTATCTTTCTGTGGTTTCTTTTTTACTCCTTTATCTTCTTTAATGGAGCTATTTTGAATTCCTTGCCGGGAGAGTGTAGATCTTCATTTCCCTAAGATCAGTTACTGGAAATGCGTTTGTTGCTTGGTGGCATCACATGTTTCTGACCCTTCGCTGTTCAGTGTGGTTCTGCATTGTCGTTCACACATGTGGCTGTGTGTTTCCTTCCTGGACTTCTGAGATGTACATGTCTTGGTCACAGGAAGTGCCTTCACCAGTCGGCACAGTTAGACTCGGCAGGGGCACGACTAGCTTTGTCCTATGGACCCCACGTTCCTCCCCTCTTCTTTCCTTTGTTGGGAGCTGGGGGTATCTCTGGTTGTATGTTTCTCTCATTCTTTCTCATTCTCATTAAGGCCAGGCCCCGGGGAGCCCAACCCTTCTCTTCTTCTTCCTCCTAAATTTTCGGGGTGGTGTGCCAGTCTCTGCCTGCCCGACTCCTCCCTCTGGACAGTACACTGTTATCGAGGGTGCTGGGTGCATGCTCCCCTCCACTATTTCCCTCCTCCCCTGAGGAGGGGTCTCAGGGTTATGTGCCCCGACTCATCTCCCCATCTTGTTTCAGCTGCAAGGGGCCACCCTGACCTCCTTCATTCTCTGCTGCTTGCAGATGTTCACGTTTTGCTCATTTCCTCCCTGGTTCTGGGCGAGGCAGGTAGAGTCCGTTCTCCCGGGAAGGATGCTGAAGTTCTCCATGCGAGGCTGAGGATGGTAGCTCCATGCTGCCTGCTTGCCTCTGGGACTCCGTGGTCTCACTGATGCTCCTAGGTGCTGGCATGCATAAAGCGACAGCATTCTGATCTCTAATAAAGTGGTATTGACTTGTGTCATGTTCACTTCGAAGAAAGGTATTTTGGTTTGCACATTGCTGAAGCAGTGGGGTTTTTTCCTCGGGGAGGGAAAGGAAGGATGAGTGCTAGGACCTCCTGTTCTGCCATTGGCTTATTCTGCTTCCTGTTGCTGAGTTTTTACTATTTTAATCTACTTATTATGCCCATGTCATCCATTCCAGTAGTTTTTTAAATAAATAAAACCTTAATTTAACATATATTTTGATGTTGGCTACCCTCCTTTCTCTAAAATATTTTATTGGGTTTCCCACAATATGCACCATTTCTTTAAAAAACATTTTTTTTACCTTATTAGTGAACCATGACTTAGTTACTGATAGATGAGTCTTAGGCATGTTTCTTAAATTTTGTTTGTATTTTATGTTATTACTTATTCTTTAGATTTAAAGAATGCTGCCATCTCTGAAAATACTTAAATTTTTTAAGTGTTTTAAAATAGAAACTTTTTAAAATATAAAATTTAACTTTTATTTAAAGTAGAAATTTTTAAAGATGACTAAAGTGTAATTTTCGGCATAATAAAGCTGTAACTTAAATAACATGTCAGGTCCTAATATGATATAAACTTCTTATAAGTACATCATAATACCCTTTGACTTCTTCTGTAGTGCGGTGGGTTATAGAAAAATGAAAGTTGCTTAACCATTTAGGTGTACAATTTTGAAGTGTGCTTACACTTTCATTCCACCCACCACTGTTTGTCAACATTTTTTTTTTAACAATGTGAACACAATCTCTGAATCCATTAAATAGTAAATCCTGGGTAGAAGCAACAGGACAGTGGGTAGGGCACTTGCTTGCATTTGGCCAGCCTGAGTTCAATTCATGGCACTCCAGATGGTCTCCCAAGCCTGCCAGGAGTGATCCCTGAACACAGAGCTAAGAATAAGCTCTGAGTATTTTCTGGGTGTGACCCCCAAGACCAAAAAAGTGGTAGCTCTTGAGCCTTCTCCATCTCTAGCCTTTGATAGCTGAAGTTTTTAGCTTACATTTTTCTGCATGACACTGTGCATTCTTGGTACTCATGCAAGTATGATCGTGCAGTATTTCTGCCTCTTTCTGGCTCTGGCGTACTGTTATTGTAGCCTGACTTACAGAGCTCCCGGTGTTCACATTGCAGCTTATGTCAGCATTTTATTCTTTATCATTGATTTCTTAATAGTAATTTCAAGCTTCTTGGGAGTGGAATTTCTGACTCAGGATCTGGGTGTGGTCACTAGTCCTCTCCAGCATTATCCACAGTGTCATATGTGTAGTTCAGAAGTAGTCATGGTTCAGGTTTGCTTCTCTCCTGTGTGTCCTCTTTCGATTTTCAGAAACCCTTGAGTTCTCTGAGAGTATTAGCTGTCTTTCCTACTGTCTTGTCCAGTCTAAGCCAGTTGCCCAGACACATGCTCTTTGAGGCTGAAGGATGCTAAACTATATGAGAGGTGTCACTAATGAATGCTGAGACATCATTACTTCTAATTTCTAATGATATAATTCTTAATTGAAGACATTCAATTTCAAACTATTTAAAATTAATATGGATTTTGGTTAAGGCTACCCAGTTAAACTGCAAGCTATTACTAAAAATAAGTTTCCTTAATTATTTATACATTCCCTCCACTTTTATAAATTTACTTCTGAGCCATTAAACATCACTTCTAGTCAGTGCTTCCATGCGAACAGTTTCTGTACTGGTTTTCTGTATAGTGTTATTCTGTTCAACTTACCCACATTGAACCAGCCACATCCTTGAAGAGTGATTTATTTTCATTTACCATGATAACTGGTAATATCAATAATTTTGCCTCAGAATTTTTTCATAATCTTAAATGTATTTTCTGGGATTCTTGTTATGGTACTATACATTTTAATAATGCCTAAATGTGGAGCTGATAGTTTGAGCCAAATTTTTTTTCGAAGGTGGACTTTGTGTTTGTGGAGGATTTGGGGGGTGAGTTGGTCAATCCAGCAGTGCTCAGAAGCTATTCCTGGCTCTGTGTTCAGGGTTTCATGTGATGCCATCATGATCACGGCCACCATAGCCTTATGAGATGCCAAGTGCCTTACTGTCTGTCCAACCCTGAGCTAAAACTTTAAGATGCTTTCTTATTTTATGAATTAGAATTAATGAAGAGCATGCTCTTCGTTAATTCTTTTCATTACTTCATACACTTTATATACTGAAGTGTCAATCTTTATCTGGTTCAGTTAGTTCTTTGTGATGGCATATACATTACCATTAGTTACCAGTATGTTCTTTCTTTCAATTGTGGGCTTTTCATGACACAACATTAACTACATATTGAATTAGATATTACTGCTACTGGTCAACATAATTTATTGAACATATCTGTCTGAATACTAGCGTCAAAAGCATCTTTAATTACTAGGGAAGAAATAATGTTTGATTAGCTTTTTGCATTATCTTGAATCATTGTCAGCTTTTTAATATTTTAAAAGATGTAGGAAGGTTTCAATAAATTTGGCACTTGTGGTATATAGATTATGGGAATTTCTATCGCATATGATTTATGGAACTCAGTAAGTTAACTTTCGTCTTAGGTTTCATAGACATTGATGAGCATGACTGACCAAAGATGCAGTATCATCCTGAAATACTTGTATTGAAACCACTAGGCTCTATTTTTTTGTATGTCTTCCTTTTTTTTTTTTTTTAGGAATAAAAAACCTCATGTGTTCTTTTGCGATATTAATGAGCACTCTCCTGGGAATTTTGTATGATAGTCATTCAACTCCATTATAATGTATTTTGCATGTCCTTGAAGATGATTATTCTTATTTAGTCTAATTTGCTTCCTGAAAACTGTGAAGATAATGTTTTCTGATGTTTATCGAGAATTGTTAATAGTTCTTCAAGAAACCTAGCTGTCTCTTTGTACATGACAATCATTAAAAGTAGATGTTACTTGGAGTTAAGGATTGAACCTTAGTGTATCATTTCAGTGGGATGATTGCCACACGTCATCCCCAGCCTTTGCATTTTGTGGTGTTCCTTCTCTACGCCTTCAGACAAGAAAAGGGCTCTATCCTTCAGACAGTTTCCCTCTCACATTGTTATATCAAAATGAGAGCTTCATTGTCGATAGACTTATTTTTCTCGAGTGGCTCTAACTTTTGACATATAGTTTCTAATCCTTGTCTGTTTTATCTCATTTTTAAAAATAGCTACGTTAAGGTATAAATTTATGTGGCTTTGGTATTTGTGTCGATGTTTAAAAAATCATTACATACAACTCTTTAGGTTAAACATATTGAACTTTGGGACTGAAACAATAGTACAGTGGGTAGAAACATTTGCCTTACACATTGCCAACCCGGGTTTGATCCCCATATCATCCCGTATCATCTCTGATGAACCGCCAGTAGTAATTCCTGAGTGCAGAGCCAGGAATGACCCTGGAACATGATTTGCCGTGGCTCAGAAAGCCAAAAAAAAAAATAACTCAAATAAAACAAAAAAACCTATTGAGCAGGATTATAATTTTTTATCTGAACCACTAATTAGTTATAATCATCCATACTTTGTGGTTCCTCAGCTCTTAGAGTAAAATAATAGCAAATGGCATAAAAAGCATGTCTTAAGTATCTATTCCTTGAAATTAAATGAAAATCACCTGTACTCTACTATTAATAAGAAGAAATTTGATGACAAAAATCTTTGAGTTCTCTGTAAAGCTGTTTAAAATATGTGATCACTTTTTCCCCTCATTTGGGATTATTGTTATTACCAGAAAATTTTGTTCTACATGTTCTAAGTATTACTAGAAAAAAGTTTGTATAATAAAATATGACCTCAACAAAACAGCATATATCTCACTACAGTGCTCTAAAATTACTTTGGACTAAGCTAAACATGTATCATTCAAATGTTGACATGCAAAGATAATGGAACACACATATGTTAAATATCAGAAGCCTTGCACATTGAGAAGGCTCTACTATGGTAAAGAAAATAATTGAGTATTTAAACTAAACATTTGAATTTATCACCTTGAATTTATTTTTTGCATTTAAATAGTATAGTTGGCATTTACAGTTACTTTTTTGAATGTTGACTTAATGATGGTATCTGTGGTATGTGCTATCACTCCAGCCCATGGAATAGGCATAATTAAAAAAATTGACTAAACCTCTATGTCTGATATAGTTTTTTTTAACATTTCTTTATTTTTTTTTTGGTAGTCAAACAAAAATTTGGATATTTCAATTAATGCATCCAACAACTTTAATCTCAACATTACATGGTCTGTTGGTTCCACAGGTAAGAGAACTTCGGTGCCCATGTCTTGCACATGTGTTGTATTCTAATGTGTATTTTTAAAAGTAATTTGAACAACTGACAATTCAGAAAGTCCTAGTAATAAGGCTTCATTATCTTAATAATTTCATCCTTGTTTAATTAAAATAGATTTATGACAATAGTATATAATGCTTAATTATTTTAAATGGAACTATTAATGAAATGTGATTTTAATTGAAATATATTGCATTTTCAATGAACTGAGTAAAACTTCCATTATTTCCTTTGCTACAGAAGTCATAAATATGATTATCAACCTAAATATTGATATAGAACAATGAAATCTTTAACTGCATACTGATAGATAACTTTTAAGCAGAGTACTATACTGCTCAATTGCCTGTCAGCTTTTACTGCTTCAATATTTTAGAAAAAATACTCTACTTAGCATGTCTTCGGTAATAAGGTTTCTAAGTTGAAATTTAGACAGTTAAAAATATAATTAAGAAGTAGATGTTTTTATTTAGGCCTATGAAAAGAGTAACTTCATACTTATGCTTTAGAAAATTCTATTGCTTTTAATGTTTGTCAAGGATATACTATTGCATAAATATGCTTGGAAATTTTTTAATTTAATTTTTAAAAATAAACTTGATTAAGGTGGTTTGTTACATTCAGTATTCCAACACCAAATCCCACCACCAACAATCTTCTCACCACCATTATTTTCTTTTTTTTATTTTTTTTTATTTTATTTTTTTTTAATTATATTTATTTATTTTTTAATAGTGAGGCACCATGAGGTACAGTTGTAGACTTACACATTTTTGTGCTTGGGTTTCGATTATACAATGATCAAACACCCATCCCTCCACCAGTGCGCATTTCCCACCACCACGGACCCCAGCATCCCCCTCCCAGCCCCCATCCCACCCTGCCTCTGTGGCAGGGCATTTCCCTCTCTCTCCTTTTGAGTGCCATGGTCTGCAAAAGAGACATTGAGTGGCAATCATGCTGGTCAACAGTCTACCCTCAGCATGCTCTCCCATCATGGGCGGATCCTCCCAACACCCTTTATTTACCACCATTATTTTCAACCACCTCTCAAGTCTGTCCCTATAGCAGTCCCTGAATAATTTATTTTATATTGCTTGTTATAAATAATTCGCTAAAAATGATCAAAAAATATTTTCTTAGAAGAAAGTGTGTGAAGACTTTTGTATCTCACCATGGAGTCCTAAAACCCTTGTATAAGAGATTATTGACATGTTACAGGTGTGTGTTTGTGTCTTGTTAATCGAGATTGGTTGCCTTTTACTTTACATCTCACCCAATGTGATATGCTACTCCTGGTGTATAAGTGATGTACAGTTTGAGGAATTCAAAATTAAAAAATTTTGTGTGGGGTGATAGTAGGAAAATTTTTAACTGGATGGTGACTTTGGTTTCATTGGAAGACAGCCTGTCACGGATCCAAAAGCATCTCTGTAACTTGTTGATCTCTTTCAAGATTTATATATGAGTGTCTGGATTATGGTCAGTTAAGGAGCTTATTTGGTGCCAGAGATAGTTCATGAGTGTGACTGCTAGGCTTCTGGAAGAACTGGGAGATGGGGAAGGTAGCCCATCCCTCTGACTTTATGAGAGCCTGGAGATATCAGTCATAGAACCTGCATACATGAGTTTTTCAACAGATTAATTTCTAGATGAAGCTTGCCATGAGCATGGTGATGATTGTGGAGTGTGGAGGTTTTGGCTGCCTGGGCTCTGTTTGGGTGGGTGCTGGGCTCACCCACCCCCATTCCATTGCCCCGGATGACTCAGCCTGGCGCAAGGTCTGGAAGCATCTCCTGTGCTTGAGGCCTTTTCAAGAAAATATCTATATGCTTAGAAATATGTAGTTAATTTCTAAAATTTAGATTGTTGTGTTTATTTTGCTATGTAGAATCTGTGTTATTTTACTGTGCGATCAGAATTAAAGAGTTACTAGGATTTTGCTTTTCTGAACCTATATTACATGTAAAAATGAGAAATTCAGGCAAATCTATAGATATTTTTGTCATACATAGTTGTGTATAAAACATACAGTAAAACCTTGGCATTCGGCATTTGTTTTTTTATTAAGAATTATAACTTGTATTAATATGCAAATAACCTATGCACAGAAAACTCAACTGCAAGTTTTAAAATGGTATATCAGAATATATAAGGGGCTGAGCGATCTTACAGTGGGTAAAGCGCTTGCCTTGTACACCTGAGTTCAATCCCTGGCACCACATGTGGTTGGTCCCTCGAGCACTCCCAAGAGGAGTGTTCCCTGTGCACTGCTGGAACTACCCCCAAACAATAACTACAACAAACTAGCATTTATAAAACCTATAAAATCTCTTTAGAACAGTTACTTTAGTGTGGAGAATATCTCATAATTTTCAAGTCCCAGAATCAAATTTCCAAATGCCAGCAGGTTTGGAAATAGGTACTAGCTTAGCAAGTTGTTAAGTTTCTCAGTGTTTTGAATGTCAGGCTATGCTACTGCAGGTGCTGGGGCACAGATCTTTTGGTGCCCACATGCCTCTGGGCTCACACTTGATGGTGCTGCAGGGCATGGGATGATGCAATACTGGGACATGGGAGAAATGTGCCTTACCACTTACCCACTTTCCTGGCCCTCATTTCTGCCTTTGCTGTTTCTTAAAGTAGAGGCCCTGGTTAGGGTGTTGGAAGTGCATTGTTCCATTTGGTTAATTTCAGTAAATATTTATTGAGTTCTCAGTATGTGTTTAATTTTAAAGCTTTTAGCTTGAGTTTTATAGTGTCCTCAGAAGTAGTGATGGTTCCATTTATGGTAAGGCAAATACATTGATTTTTTTTAATAGTTTTTAATTGGACTGAGACCAGCAAAAATATGTCCTGATTTGTTTGGAAAGACTCCGTGGAGTGGTTAAAAAGAATGAATTCAGTTTCTGGAGTCAGATATAGACTCTAGTCGAGCTAGGAATTTTTCGGCTCAGTACCTATCAAGTTTGGACTGGCACATGCTTTAAATTTTGGAAGTTCAAGTTTCTATTAGAATAATAAGGATGGAATACCTCTGGGATAAGATTATTATGAAGAATAAAGTAGTGTTTAGCACTTGATCAGTATAATCTAAAAAAAATATATACTCACACACACCCCCACTTCTGGAAATCCTGGCAGTCACACCCGTCTCCCATATTGCTGCTATGTCAGCTCATTGGCCCAGACCATCGATCCTGGGATCTCTGGACTGCATGGCCACATACATGGTCACAAGACACCTCCTAATTCCTCAGTACTGAAATTCCACCAGGAAAGTACCAATTAGTTGGGAGAGTAACATAGAAGCCAAGTGAACTCAGCAAACAAAAACAGTGATACAGAAGGCTCAACTAGCAACAACTTAGTGAATTTGTAGACAAGTACTTAACAACCTCATGATTAGATATAATAATTTTTATATAAAATTATTTAAAAAAATGCTTGCTGATTTTAATATTGAAACTAAACTTTGCTATCTAACCGGTTTCAATTCTGCAATTGTATCAACAATATCTTTGGCTTTTGTCTACATTAAAATAAATTAAAACTTTTTTACAAAGAGTAAAAAAATAATAATGTACCGTCTTTTCTCATTATATTCATGATAAATATAATTTTCTTTTTCATTTTAAATTGTAACGATGAGTTTACATTAGTGATTATCTTGTATAAAAGGGTTACAAAATTAAACACTGTTAATTCTAAGTTCATAAAGATTTCTGTTTCCTAATATGAATTGTTTAAATTTGTTGTCTCCTTACATTTTAGCTGGTACAATATCCGGAGAGGAGACGCCTATAGTTTCCAAAACTAATATAAAGGACTACAGAGATAGCTTTTCCTATGAAAAATTTAACTTTAGAAGCAATCCTAACATTACGTTCTATGTGTACGTCAGCAACTTTTCCTGGCCTATTAAAATACAGGTAAGTGTTATTAGTATTCCATCTAAGGGTCATTCTGTATTTTGATTATAAAAAAAAGTGCACTTTTGTTCAGTGTGATATCTGTTTACATTTCAATGCTTTGAATAATAATAATAAAAATACCATATATTGCCCCTCAACAGGAAAGGGTACTGGTAAATAGTGCTTACCAGTTCCTTTTTAACAACCATCTACTTCTCACTATTGATTGATTTATTTATATTTTAAGATTTTGTGTTCTGCTTTCATTGTGTTTAGCAATTGGTTGTTAGAGATTTTAGTTTTATTGCTAGGAAACTGGGGATATTCTTTTTCTCTTCAAATAGTCTAGGATTTTGCCCTCAACTTATGTTTTTATTGAAAGAAAAGTCTGTTATAATGTTGAAATCTGTATGATTATTTATTTAGGTCTGATTTAACACACGGAATCATGAAAAATTCTTTGAATAGGTCATATATGCCAAACCCTTTAATAGGTCATTATGTTTTAAAATTTCTACAAATATGTGAATTGTCCCATTCTTTTTGTTACTGATAGCTTATGGTCTGTGCTTCCAAATGTTCTGTCCATACTTGTAAGTGATTTGAATGAGTAAGTTGTGTTTACTTTTTAAATTTAATTTTTGGTGGGGTTCGGGCCATCCCTCGTGGTGGTGGAGTTCTGTCCAGTGCGGTGTTTGAGAGTCCCTGTAGACTATTCTAGGGTAGGGGAGTATATGGGGCTGGGTATTGAACCCGGGCCTCCTGCATGCAAAGTAAATTTACCAGCCCATTAAGATATCTCCCTGGCCCCTGAGTCTCTCTCTCTTACACACATACACACATACACACACACAAACACATTTTCGGTGTGTGTTGGGAGTCGGGCACACCCGGCTATGCTGAGGTGTTACTCCTGACTCTGCATTCAGGAATTACTCTTGGTAGTGCAAGGATCGAACCTGGGTAAGTCCTATCAAGGGCACAAGGCAAGTACCCTATCCTCTGTACTATCTCTCCAGCTTCCTGAGTGATTAATTTTTGAAAAAGGTATGTTTGCTGATAAATTTATTTTGTAAGGTTTAATAGCATATCAATTCATGCAGACTATTTGTGCACTGCTAATGTGCTTTATGCAGAAATATTGATCAGATGTCATTTGGTTTATTCAAATTATGATCGAAGATAACAAGGGTTCATGTATAACATTTACTCAATAGTAATTAAATAAATGATTTAATTTACGTTTAGGTTTACAATTTAATTACAGTAGATTCAACTGTTATATATTTAATTATTATATGGCCCTTATTTTTAGATATCTCATCATATTTTATTTTTGAGAAAATTACATATTTGCATTAAAGTGCTAATGAATATTTAATGGTTAGAGATTAACTTTTTGTATTGGCTTGTCCTTGTAGAATATACTAAAAAAATGTTCTGGTTGCCAAACTAGAATTCATTTAATAATGTTGAATTACTCCATTCTTCCAAAATTATAGCACTGTAGCACTGTCCTCCTGTTGTTCATTGATTTGCTCTAGCAGGCCCAGTAACATTTCCATTGTGAGACTTGTTGTTACTGTGTTTAGCACATCGAATACATCACGGTTAGCTTGCCAGGCTTTGCCATGTGGGCAAGATACTTTCGGTAGCTTGCCAGGCTCTCCGAGAGGGGCGAAGGAATCAAACCCGGGTCACCCGAGTTGGCCGCGTGCAGGCAAACACCCTACCACTGTGCTATCACTCCAGCCCTCCAAAATTATAAAATATGAAAAATAACTATGATGGTGCTCAAGAGGTAATTGAGTTCTTTCAGTTGAACTTAAATCATTATATTAGTGCTGAGAAATGTGTTATTATAAGCATGTAACATTATGTGTTTTATATAGCATATATGGGCTGGAGCGATAGCATAACGGGTAGGGCGTTCGCCTTACAAGCAGCCAACATGGCCGACCCGAGTTCAATTCCTCCGCCCCTCTCGGAGAGCCCGGCAAGCTACCGAGAGTATTCGATATGCCAGACACAGTAACAACAAAGTCTCCAATGGAGACGTTACTGGGCCCGCTCGAGCAAATCGACGATCAACGGGAGGGCCTTTACCTTTACCTTTATAGCATATATACTCTTATTATTAATTCTTTATTATTATATCAGTTTATATGTATTCTCTGGGCTGGAGAGATAGCACAGTGGTAGGGCGTTTGCCTTACAAGCGGCCAACATGGCTGACCTGAGTTCAATTCCTCTGCCCCTCTCGGAGAGCCCGGCAAGCTTCCGAGAGTATCTCGCTTGCACGGCAGAGCCTGGCAAGCTACCCATGATGTATTCGATATGCCAAACACAGTAACAACAAGTCTCACGATGGAGATGTTACTGGGCCTGCTTGAGCAAATCAATGAACAACGGGAGGACCATAACTGTGATATGTATTCTTTAATAAAATTTTAATTATTAGTCATAAAATAGTAAATTTTTTGAGATTTTTGTTTGTTTGTTTCATTTTTGGCCACATTTTGGCTGTGGCTTAGGACTTGCTCCTGGTTCTGTGCTCAAGGATCACTCCTGGCAGGGCTTGGAGAATCATATTGGGTGATGGGGGGATCAAATCCGGGTTGGCATATGCAAGGCAAGCACCTTGCCCACTGTAACATTGCGCCATCTCCAGGATTAACGTATTTTTAATTGTTTTTAATTTTCCTTTTTTTCATTTGTGAATTTATACTTGTAAAGAGAATACAATGTTTTATTCTTTAGCTCACTCTCAGAAACGAGCTAAAGCTTAATGAATCTTTCATTTTCAGTTTTCATTGCTGCAGATTTTACAGAGAAGTTTAGAAAAATAAGTCCTGAAAACCCACATTCATCAGTTCTAATTTCTGAGCCCTGAGGAAATTGTTGTCTTTTATTATATCTCTTTTATTATCTGTAGACTACCTCTTAGAGTTAAAAGTTGTCTTACAGATGACAAACCAAGAAGCAATCATTTCAACATTTTAAATTTGTTCACTTGTAATGTATAATATTGAATACCGACAAATACATTAAGACTGTTTGGGGAGGTTTCTCCCAAGAGGTGCTCAAATGGTCCAGGCGTCCAGCACCCGGCAATCCTTTACCAACCCAAACAGTGGTTCGATACAAGGGCTGAGGATGCTCTTGGAGTCTGAAGTGCTGGGATGTACCAGGCAGTACCAAGGTACTGGGGCCACCAAGGGTGCACCCAGCAGTGTTCAGAGAACCTTGTGATACCAGAGATCGAACCAGGGTCAGCTTCATGCAAGACCAGCACCTTAATCTTTGTACTGTGTCTCCAACCCCTGAAAGGTGATTAATGTTTTGATGAGTTCATTTTTAAAGTAATTAGTTACTATTTTTCGTTGTTGGGCTGGAGCAGTAGCAGAGCATGTAGAGTGTTTGCCTTGCATGCAGCTGACTGGGCTGACTCAGGTTCGATTCCTGCTCCCCTCTTGGAGAGCCCAGCAAGCTACCGAGAGTATCTTGCCCGCATGGCAAAGCCTGGCAAGCTACCTGTGATGTATTTGATATGCCAAAAACAGTAACAGCAAGTCTCGCAATGGAGACATTACTGGTGCCCGCTCGAGCAATCAATGAACAAAGGAAGGACAGTGCTACAGTTTCGGGCCACAGTGGTGGTGCTCAGGGCTTACTCCTGGCTCAGCACTTCGAAATCAGTCCTGGAGGTACTTCTGGGTCCACATTGGATACTGGGGATCAAACCTGGGTTGGCTGTGAACAAGGAAAAAGCCCTACCCGTTAGACTATCTCTCCGGCCCCTTAATTGATTTTTTAAAGTTTAGTAATCTTTTTCTCTCTAACATTATAATGTTTCTCTTCTTTTAAATCAGGTAACATTTGGTTTATAAGAGTGTAATGTTTTTAAGTTTCAAATAGAAAATATAGTACTAGACCACAAATGTAGCTCAGCCACTTCCCATATATATCCTTGTTGCTCTTGGTAACCTCATTTCTTTCTTTTTTGGGGGGGTTGGGGTGGAGCATACCAGTGGTGCTCAGGGCTTATTTCTGGCTCTGCACTCAGGGATCTCTCCTGCTAGGGCTCTAGGGGACCATATGAGGTGCCAGGGATGAAACTCGGGTTGGCCATGTTCAAGGAAAGAACCCTACCCATTTTTCTATCTGTCTAGCCCTGGTAATCTTATTTCTGACCTCAGAGTCCAAATTTTTCATTAAACATTGTTTCCATCGGTTGTTTCTTTTTATGTGGCATTTAATTGAGATTATCTAGTTTTTTTTTCTTCCTTCTGACATATCTCGCTCAGCATTACAGCTTCTATCTTGTTCATTTTGTAGCAAATGGTCATTGCAGAGTGAGATTATGCATATGTCTGCAAATTACTCATTTTGCGTTCATAGAATGGATACTTAAGACTGGAGCTGAGAGCTATTTTCTCTTTAATTTTTTGAGAAATTACCACAGGGTTCTCCACAAGGACTAAAGCAGTTTATGTTCCTGACAGTCTTCCGCGAGGGATCCTTTTTCTCCACATCCCTGCTAGCTCTTGTTTCTGGCCTTTTTGATACAGGACAGCCTTACTGGTGTGAGGTGACATCTCACTGCTGTTTTGAGTTGCGTTTCCCTGGTAACCAGTGATGCTTGAGTATTTTTCCATTGATCTGATGCCATGAAACATTCACGAGGCTGTTTTTCATTTACTAAGTTTCCAGAGTTCTTCACTTACATTGGATGTTAGCCTTTCCTCGGCTGTCTGGTGTGTGAATATTTTCTCCCCTTTAAGAGACTCCACTTGTGGGCTTTCCCCCGATGCAAACTCACAGCTTGAGTTCCATTTACTCCTTTTTGTTTTTGCTCTCCTCGCCAGTGGGGGCTGCCTCACAGACCTCTGAAGCTGTTGTAGAGATGATTTGGGCCATCTCTACAAAGAAGCCATCATGTTTGGTCCATAGCCTACTTTCACCACATATCTTCCATCCCGAGCGATCCCTCCAATCATCATTTACTTAGTGGTTCC